AATTATGAAAATATAACGCAAGGTACATTGTATGTTTACGGTGGGGAAGAATACGAAGGCGTATAGCGTGGCTTGTCATCACCTGCAGACATCCGGTCGACTGTAACTCTAGTGTTCTTGTGAATGTGACAGTTTTCTCCTGAACTGCCAACATGTAAAAAAAAAGTCAATACGTTTCCACGGCAACTTATGCCTAATAGATTGTGCTCCATCATTCACTGATTGATTTTTTTGACAAATTTTTGTTCAAATTTGGTACACGATCAAAGAACGATTAATTTAAAGGACAATTTTTGTTTTAAAAAACACCATTTCTTGGTTATACCTGAGCAAATTTAATTTAAACATAACAGAAACAATTGTACATGGTGGGTTACTGATGCTCGCTATTTGATTCAAAATGGCCAAGAGGTGGTTGCTGTAATCTACTTCATTTCACTTCTTTCGTTTAAAGGATGATTCAGTGAAAATAAAATCCAGTGAATTTACCTTTTTTTCTATATTTCACATTCAACTCATCAAAAATCAGTGAAAATAAATTCCGTATAAAACAACCCAAAAGTCTTTTCAGCAAAAATTAATTCCAACTATAAGCTAAAAGTATTTTACAGTGTTTTGTTATGTTAGTGTGTCCTTTTCTCAGATAATTTCATTAAAAAAATAGATACCATATTTACCATGTCTATTGGTAGTACCTGCACCTTCATAGATAGAAGTATGTCAACATACTTCCTATAATTCAGTATACAAACAATTTCAATTTCTGTCAGAGTTGTGTTTCTACTAGCAATTACATTTATAATATTTATATGAATTGACATTAAATTATTTTCCAATTCAGATATCACCATTATGCCCTAAGGACTTTCATGTTTCAGCTTTTATGTTGGAATTCTGTGATTTGAACGTAATAAATTAAAAAAAAATATGCAAACAAATTCGTTTTCAACATAAACTAATATCAACAGAAAAAAATATGGTTCAGGCAATTGTATGTAAAACAAGATACTTGTATGTCTTTGAATTACCAGTAATTAATTTCTCGTAGATCCATCTTGTAATATGTTAGTTTGTTTGGTTTGTATATGACTTATTTACTCTGTGTGTTTGCCCATCCACTGTGGCTTAAATCATGTTTCCGAATATTCTGTGAATTATTAAGGAGATTTAATACACATAAATGCCAAGGTAAACAAACTGACTGTGATGTATCAAGCACCACCTGAGTTGTATACTCGTACCTGTCATGAGAGTATTAATATATATAAGAGAGAGTACATGTCAGAAGTCACTTGTATATCACTGAATGTGTACAACATGCCAACACAATGACAGTGATTTTTGTCAAGGAGGCTTGAAAAGGAATATGGTTAAAATATTTAATAAATTAATGGCCAATAACAAGAACTTCTTGCCTTATTATTTTTTTGGATGTTTTTTCTCAACAACCAATTTGACCCATAGTAATTGGAAAAAATCCAATACACATGTTGTCATACATGTGCAGATCAGTTAGGGCCATTTTCATACATTGCTTGTAGTCTTAAAAAAAATGGAAAATGCATGAGGAGAAAGTGGTCATCGTCATTCTTACTGTCTCTTATAAATTACACACCTAGAGTTCTTAATTATTATTTATTATTCAGATTCTCAACAGACAAGGTTTGCCTAAATTGTAAATCTTCAACTGTCGGCGCATATTTCTCCTAGATTGAATGTTGTGCTATTTTCGTTCTCTACGTGGAAGTATAAGCACTCATTATGTAGTATTTGAAGAATATGATATATGTGTGTCAAACCATATACACTTACGATAGTTGAATTGACATGGTTCATAGCAGACTTGTCGACAAGTGCTTGGTGTACTGTATATACATGTTGCAAAAAGGTACTGACGTCGTAGACTCAAGTGTGATCGATCATTTTCCCAAAATAGTCACCCTTTCAAGTGTATGCTTAAACTGACTTGCAATGTTCTCTTATTGACCTACACTAACCAATCATAGATGGTGACACTGCACAGTCAGGCTGGTCAAAGTAACATACAAGGTTACCTCTGATTGAATATCCTTCTGAATTGCCTAACCAATCAGGAAACACCTTGTTGTCAGGTTTATTGCTTAGTGTCATCTGACAATTTCTGTTGAAATCCAATATTGTCCAAACTTATTTGATTTTATATTCCAAATGAAGAATTTTTTAAAGCAATATTTTGCCAAATATAGTCCTCAGACATCCATGAAAGATAATGGAAGAATTAAACTTAAATAATACTCAACAAACCATCAGAAATAAATTCATGTGGACTGTGCTGTTGAATTTTTATTACTTTATTCCATATTTTGGTATGCATCCATTGGTGGCTGTAACTCAGATTTGTTCTTTTAGCAATAGTGCTTGTAATGTACGTGTATCAAGGTCTGTGTATTGGAAAAATATCAGTAATTAATATACTAGAAGCAATGGAATATTGAAAATGACTCTTACTAAAATTACTAGTCACTGCAAGGCTGCTTACCAGATTGTACCTGATTGGCTACCTAAACCTAACACCCAAAAGTCAGACCAATCAGCCTGTAGTATTTAACTTCACTTTCGTTAGAGGCAAATTAAAATAGTTGAGTATACTAGGGTGCCTGGAGAAGTTTTAATTGTAAATTGAGTATGAATTACTGTTTTCTTATTGTTGTGAGTGAGTTTATTGATTAATTAAATTCGCAAAAAATAGGTCTTAAAAAGCCCATCAAAATGTCTGAAATATTATGAGCTAATTAAGATCGATAGGAACACTTGAATTCGCTTGATTGACTTCACGCACTGTAAGGTTGAATGACATAGCATCTGGCTTATTGGATAAGCACATGCATTACGTGACTTGTCTTTTATTGTACCAACAAGTGGAAATAGAAATATTTTTAAGATTGTCTTTAAAGACAATCACCCGGTTGTACATACGTTCTCTGTATCCTGTATTTAATAAAGAACTTGGTGATCACATCACATCATTTCCTGTATTTAATTCTACTATTGTGGAAACACAAAACTTCTAAAAAATGTACCAAAGATGTATCTGTGCTACACTTTTCATAAATCATGAACTTTTTTTTTTTTTGTTAACATGAAATATTTATAAACGTTTCTTAAATTTCAAATGATATTTGAAAACACTCGCAATGCCCCAGAAGAAAGAAGACCAGCTGTAAAGAATTCCCTATCGGTCAGTATGGCCTTTGGCTACTGAGTTTTCTCTATCTGAAAATAAATATGTTTTTCATTTTAAACCTTTTGTGCCAAACTGTAGTGATATACTACTTTCAATATTGAAAATATATATCTACGAATGATTAATTTGAAGCATTTCTAATAAATTTGATGATATCTGGGTTTCCGTAAATCAGTCATGATTAAGGGAAAGACGCACAGACTCGTGGGTAATGAGCATTACTCACGAAAACGTTCGTTTTGATTTGACTGTAGCACAATCATCCTCTAAAATTAATATTTTATAAATTTCCATGAAAAACATTCATGCCTAAATAAAAACAATTGTATATCTTGATATATTTATAAAACAAATTATTCACTTTGGTGAAACATTTGACGAATGAAAAATTTATAATTTTTATTTCTTTCATTTTCTGTGAAGTGGTATTTTAGGCCGAAAATAAATTTTTTAATAAATACTTTATAATCGCGTTTGATTAATGTCTAACTAAAGTCGTGACAGATATAATTTATTGTACACTGAACCCTATTATTAATTGAATCGATTATTTACATAGTTTATGTAAGGCTGCAAACGGTACATTGAATCACATTTTGTATTCTAGCAATCAATTCGACCACAACAAAAAACGATTTGTTTAACCGCAACTGAACTTCTTACGACCAGAAACAGAATTGTTTCTTTTAGCTTTGTATTTATAATTATTCACAAGTGAAGAATTCTGATCGAATCATGAGACATGTACGGGAATATCAATTCTTCAGTACAAGTAAAACTTAGCATGTAACATGAGCAAGGATATAATCATTGCTGAATGCTTTACCTGCAGGGTAGCCATTATATAATTTTTCCAGTCTGCAAGCCCCATGAATCTTTTTAATAAGGATACGATGCCTCCAAGCACTATGGCTATGTTTGTCTTATTAGTTTTTAAGACCGAGTCTGTAAACCGACATGGTTAAAACTTTTTTGTTTTGTTTTAGGTTAGGTAATACTGTAAAATACTTTTTTTTAGATGGAATTAATTTTCGCTGAAAAGACTTTTTGGGTGTTTTGTATGGAATTTATTTTCACTGATTTTTGGTGAGTGGAATGTAAAATATAGGGAAAAAATCACTCCTTCAGTGAAAATAACGAAAATTAATTCCAAGCGAAATAAAGTATTTTACAGTAATAGGTATTAAATAAGAATTACGATGCAACCATATAAATTTTATTAATTACAAAATGGATGTAATCTTTCATGGGGTTGATCAAAAGTTTTGAAAAAACTTGTGGGTAATGAGTGTTACCAAAGGGCTTCTCTAGCTAATTAATTGCTTCATATTTGAATTAGCTGTGGTTTCGTAGCCCACTATTGTAGCAGACAACTGATTATTAATTTTGTTATTACTTTCAAAAATATTTAATATTTTATAAATGTTTTTATAAATATTTTATAAATTTCCATAAAAACATTCATGCCTAAATGAAATGATACATTTATAAAACATTTGATGAATACAAAATTTATAATTTTCTGCCATTCCTGTAATTTTTCATGGGCTTGATAAAATATGGAAAAATTTGTGTGTATATTTATTTTGTGGAAAGAGACAAAAGCACATATTTGCTTTCAAATCGCTAAACATAAAAAAGAAGTAGTAATTATCGTAAACATGGATGAAAATTAAACTATTCTCCCCCCTGATCACTGAGTCATTAGGACACTGGACTTATTGTTAAAAAGCTTCTAAACACATTAAGGTGAACTAATTGGTATTCTTTATTGCAGGCATGGTTATCTGAAATCAACGAGTATGCTAATCAGAATGTGGTGATTATGCTACTCGGCAATAAAGCAGATATGTCATCAGAGAGAGTCGTGAAAAGGGAGGAAGGTGAAAAATTATCACGGGTAAGAGCAGAGCGCCCTCTAGTGACGTTTTTCAAAGAATGATTCAGTAGGAGCTAGATGCAGTAACTTGAATCTTACTATAGCATGATTAGATTTTCTATTTAAAGAAGTTTGGAACAAATTGAAAATTATATGTCATCTTCTTTATTTTTTCAATATTATTCATGCTGCCAAGGTACGAAAAATTATAAATCAAAGAATTTTTCAAGAAACATTCTGAAAACTGGTCAAAATATGCATTTTTGCACTGGTTTCTATGGTGAAATTATTTTTAAAATATCTCAAAATTTTGCTTGATTTGAGATAAAAAAAAAAAAGTCATTTATTATTGATACAACTACTAAACATTACTAAAACATTTAATTATTTTAATTCATTTTCATTGTGTTAAGAGTTTTCTATTATGAGAAGTTCTCTCCAATAGTGCATTGCGTATATGTGCATTAACATGCTGAGTAATACAAAATTTGAATTTGATTTGAACTACCTTATGAAAAATTACTGTAACTGTAACATTACAAGTAACAGTAGATACCAAATATTGAAAAGTTTCAACCATAAATACTACAACCAATCAAATAACTATGTATCACAGCACAATTGTAAAAAAAAAAAAAAAAAAAAACTTGCTTGTTTGTTCTAAGATGCTCCATATGAATTCTGGCTCTTCTACTTTGTTTGCACATTCCTTTTGTCTTCACCAGAATAGTTTAAACCTAAATATTATACATGGATTTCAGGATGTCATGTCAAATTTCTTTATCATGTACTATTTGTCTCTTGACAGGATCACGGCGTAGCGTTCATGGAAACAAGTGCAAAAACAGGAATGAATGTAGAGTTGGCATTCATGGCTGTTGCTAAGTAAGTGACACTGAGGGCGCTGTTTAATTCTCAACACTCCTGCATTTGTTGATTATGATAAAAGGTGCCATGGGAGATTTTAACTCTTTTCATTGTTATATACCTAGCAACCTAGCATTTTCTATTACATAGTATATATCATGGGTATCTATGTATTATGCCAGTGCATAATTGTTATACTCTTAGTCAATGGTTGTTTCTTGTCACTTTTAAACTGACCATAAATAAATCTGTTTTGTTTTTTTGTTCTAGTTTTACAAACTTTTTCATTTGTTACACTCTATCACTATTTTGCTCTTACTGTAAAATACTTTATTTAAGCTGGAATTAATTTTTGCTAGAAAGACAATTTGGCTGTTTATTTTTACTTTTTTTTGATTAGTTGAATGTGAAGTATTCTTGATAAAAAAAAGTGTTTTCACTGGATTTTATTTTCACAGATCTGTCCTTTCAGCAAAATAAATTCCAAGTGAAAATTAAGTATTTTACATTTAAACATACTTTAAAATAATTGATCATTTTGCATCAGTATATCTTGGGTGGTAATACTACTAGGGGCTGACTCGAATATACAAGAAATATTCGCCACTGGGACAATATGCTTCACTTTCATTGATCTACCTCGTGTTTTCATTCTGTTATGGTCCTGGCTCTCTCTTATACGCCTTATGTGACCTATGACCTTGGCACTGTTCTTCCTTCTTTGCTGCTGGCCATGTCTTGGCAGATATCAAGCAATAGTGGAAAGGTAGAAAGCGCTTTCCCAAATATTAGTTAATAATATATTATTGTTTTCTTGCTATATCATTCTTATTATAGTATATTTTTATACAGTAGATGCATTTCACTTTCATAAAGTTTTGTTCCCTTAAATGCTTTCTAGCAGCAAAAACTATTTACACTACATGCCAGTAATACATTTCATTTGTAGCGTCTAAACCAACTTTCATTTCACATTTACTTTGGCACGGTTGTAACCATGGCAGTATGTTCAGTATATGGCCATTAAATGCAACTAAAAGTCTAGAATCAGTTCTACAAATGGGTCTAGATTTTAACATTTACATATATGTGTATTTTCTTTTTAATGAAATAAAAGTAAATGATAATACGTTATTTTCAAATGAAAACCAGTCTACACCACAGTTTATGAACTGTTTTATCTAAATTATTTGATACAGCATGTTTTTAAAGAAACAGGTTACATAAGCTACTGGGGAGGGTGTGATATGGCTGTTGGAAACTCAACAAAAAGTGATGCACGAAAAGAAGTCACCATTTTTATTCTCTTTGATGTTTGCCATAGTTGCCAGTCCCTTTGTTCTTTAGTGTCTTTGGTTCAAATAAATGTGACTTCTATTTTGGCATTTGCTAATGGACTTCATTCAGTGCATTACTCTAGCCGCAAAAATGAAATAAATTACAATATTTAAGGATCATTAACTTGTGTGTTACAGGGCTAAGAATAAGTGGCTTTCCTGTCTTCATGGAAACCAAATTACACTGAACTTTTTATGAACCTGCTTAAAGTTACAAAGGGAGTTTTCAAGACTTCTCTTCATGCCTGGCATGACTCTTTGGAAATTTGCATGGATTTTCTGTGTCCATCTACAGTCCCCTGTATGATTCTTGAATTCACATTTCATGATGTCCAAGTATTTCCTCATATCATATCATTTTTCAACACATTCTTCACCAAATTAATAACCTGGACGTTCATTTCAACTTTTACCAACTGGATGATGGCGGCCATATTAGTGATGATGTGGAATTACTTGAAACAATTAAAAGTTCATGCATCTTTTTTTTTGTTTTTTCACGACAGGGATTTAAGAATGAGAAAAGTACGACGACAAGGAGAACCCCGATTCAACGTCTCTGATTATGTTGACAGTCAAAAACAGAAAAGTGGATGTTGTAGTACGTAGTCTGTAACTAACAATTATAGATGCTATGGAAAACTTAGGTCAAGTCATGTCTACAAGATCGAGTACAGCAACTGCTATTCTCTACTGCCATGTCTACACAACAGTCGCTCGCAAAATAGTTGTGCGTATCCAGTCTGGCCATGAAAACTTCCCATCCGTGTTAACTACTGCCCTCTAGCTATAAAAACAAAAGGCATGATTTATTGCCTATAGAGGTTTTTAGATGGAATAAGTTGTTTCTTGTATGTCAATATACTTTTATAACAATCTTCTGACAAAGCTAAGAAACCTTCCAAAAAAGTAAAGAAAATGGGCAACTAATTTGTAAACGGCTATGAAGTATTTATTTATTTTGTTTTGTTTTCTTTTAAAATATATTTTATAAATATTTGTAGTTTTGTCAACAGTGAATAGTACATACTTTATTCTGCATTGTGTTATTGTTTTCATTTAGGTATAAGGTATTTTTGACTTTTTGTTTCTATTTAAAAAAAATATATATGAATGACTCTTGATTTGGCAACAGATATACCAGCAATAATATAGTGTGAAGTTTTTGAAGAACTTTTTGTTTTCCAGCATGCTTTCATGACATGTCAGTATCTGTTTGTATTCATTGGCTGGTGTTCCGGGGTGAGAGATTTGTATTTGCACTGTCAGACCAAGTAATATTAGAAACCTTTGCTAACTGAAAAGTTACTGTAAATTACTTTCATGATAGGTTGTCTACAGCGAAAGAGTTTGGTGTAGTTTATCATGTGCAATTCTGAGCACCTTTAACTCGCAAGATGTTGTCATTGTGAGCACCTCTAAATCGCTAGATGTTGTCATTCTGAGCACCTCTAGCTCATTAGATTTTACCACCCTGAGCACTCCAGCTCACGAGTTGGTTCTGACCAGAGCATCTCTAGCTCACAAGATGTTGTCTTCTTGAGCTCCCTAGCTCACAAAATATTCCCATCCTGAGCACCTCTAACTCACAATATTTTCTTATCCTGAGCACCTCTAACTCGCAATATTTTCCCATCCTGAGCACTTTACTACATTGTTTTGTTTTGTATACTACAGGTTTCACACCTGCATTATCTTCCAAACTAAAGGTGCATTTTAAACTCTTGTTGGGAGGGGGGGTAAACACACACACTTGGATTTATAGACTTGTCTATATACCTTGATGGACGGGAATGCACTTCAGGGACAGCCTCTGCGTGAAATATCAAGTATTGATCAATAATGTCTTTAACAAATTTCAACTTACCATATATATTTTAGTACTCAAGAAAAGAAGCATGTTTTTGATCAACTTAGAAAAAAACTACACATACTAGGTTTCAACACAGTGCTGAGAGACTATTTGAGTTATGAATTCCAGTCATTCTGAATTGATTCCATCATTTTAGCTTGATTGAATCAATAATATTTATAGTTTTGAAAAATAATCCCTGTGTCGTGTCAATGTGCCTAGTCATAACGCGGGCAGTTGCATCTCTACTATACAAAATGTCAACTTGCTGTCAAGGTCTGCCTAACTAGTTAAAAGTGCCTAACTTGTCTATCTAACTTATTGACAAGATCTGCCTAACTTGTGTACAAAATCTACCTAACTTGTTGACAAGATCTGTCTAATAGCATGGACTCTTTACACTGAATTGTCTTGACAGCAAGCTTTGCCTTGTGATAGACTCTGCCTATATAAAAAAAAATAATACTTTCATCAACAAAAAATGGCTATATAAATTGAAATATACCTTCAATTATAAGTGATGTATATATATATAAATATGAAATTATGATTCTAATTTGAAATTACGGTAACAGTTTATGTGGATAAAACGTTCTTGTTGTGATGTACCCTTATAATGTTTGTATCTTTTTATTAGTGTGGTTATTTAATATTTTCATATAGTAATTCAGTGTAAATTCCTTGATGCCTTGCATTGATATCTATTATATCTGTTCTTTATTGCTGGAATAGTATTTCTAGTCATTGTACGTAATATCTGATTTATATGATATGAGCAAGGATTATAAATTAATACATTGCTGGCCTGACTTTAATCTTTTTAAATATGGCTGTATGTGAAACGTTGCTTGCACTACGGTTGTATAGGCCTTTTTGTTTTGATTTAACTCATTGTCTGCTGAGAGTCTCCATGAAGAAAAAAAAAATGTGTCGGATGCAGAGTACTTCTGGTAGCTTATTATTATAAAATTCAGCTGCTAGTGAACCATAAATAAGTTGAAACAACTTCTAAACACCGAATAGATCAATGATGTGATCTCTTTCACTGCCATTCTCACTTTCAACAAAATAGTTGAAAATTTTTTTATTTCCATATTCCATGTAATAATGATTTCAAAATGAGATACGAAATGAACACACATTTTGACTTACATGAACTTGTAAACAACACCTTGCTGGATGATTCATATAATTTATTTGTCAAACAAAAATTACGCTTTTTATCACTTATTTGACGCTACGTTTTTCCTTTTGTCGGAGTACAACGTGGGATTGAAAATTTTCGTGTGGGAGTGGGCAAAAGTAGAAATTAGTGTTTAGAAAATATGGTACAAATTATGAAAACTGATTCTGTGTGTAACTTTATACATGTTTCTAAAATAGTGATAATCAAGAATAATTGTATGATCCAAACAAAATGAGAAAATAACTAAAGTGTAAATAGTTTTAATGATTCCAAATATTCTTGTATATTAGAAGCTATCGATTACTGGGATTTAGTATCTGGTATCTGAATTTTATCATTGCTGTATTTATAAACCTATAGGTTATCATTTAGAGAGGGGTGTACGTTATTGAAGAGGGGAGGGAGGACAAGAAAAGGAGTTAAGGAATGGTCATGGTTGATAGAAAAGTGTCATAGTACTGGTATTACATGTATTTGCAAAGTTTTCTGGATGCTGCTTTGATGATGGGAGGGTTTGATGACGTTGATGTTGTGATGCATGCTGGTACAAAAAAGGCCATGTATTTCCCGGGGGTTGGTGAAGAATTAGATTTGGATGAGTGTCAAGGCATTACAGAAATAGGGTTATTTCTAAATTTGTCGATCGTTTGTTGTCACTGTGCTGTAGATCTGTATGTCGATTGTCATGACACGATCACATGCATACTGACGATGACGAAACGAAACGAAAACATTTTTGATAGATAAATGTATGTATTTATTAAATATCACTTTATAGAATTATGTAAACGCTCAAACATGTTTAAAATTGAAGGTATTCTTTTTGAAATTTATGTTATGCATTGTGTTATTGCTGTTGTCCATGGTCTTGGGTCCCATGAAACATACATTAGTAGCTATGTTGAACATTAAAATCAACTTTTGTCACATTTTGCTACAAATCCATTATTTTTTCCCAGATCTGTCACCAATGAAAATGGTGTCCATTTGTTCTAAAATTAACAAAGATAATGTAGAAAAATACAAAATAATTCACAAACATTTTGTTGGGTTTATTATAAAATACTTTTAATAGTTTAAAAATATTCCTAAAATCCACCTTCAAAGTATATTTTCATAGCTGGTTGTCATAGAGTTTGTGCATAGAGTATGAAATATTTCAAACATACATTCACTATAAACTATATATATATACACCTGACTTTAGGTTCACATCTCTCATTTTTGTGATGTTGAAAACAAAAATTCTTCTTAAACAGCCTGGTATGTGTAAATTCAAATGCATGTCATATTTCTAAAGTACCGTGCATCTTGTTTGCCTTTCACTAAATAAACTTGAATTTTTTTCATAAATTTTGATTAAAAACTGTAGGAAATGGATATATCCATTTGGTTCAAAATTATCAAGAATTACAGAAAAATACAAATGTATAAAATATTCCATCAACATTTTGACAGGGATAAATTACGGCTTTTAAAGGGTTAATTAGCATAATCGGCTTTTGATACCATGTCAACTGTGATTTAATATCGATGCACCCAAGGTATAAGTAAATTGTTTTGAAGAGCAGTGGTTGCATGGCTATTGCATTCGATATGGGTCCGATGATATGCATTTCATTTATTTACGAAGCTACACAAAAATTAAAGGCACATGATCGCGACGACCATGACCCTTTAATAACAATATACACGCATGTCCTAATTAGAGTCTTTCCCAACATTATTGTGCACGCTTTATTTAAAAATCGTGTTTTTGTTTTCATATATATCATCATTCATTGTTTGTTTATATATTTTGTTACCTATTGGTTTAATTTATTGCTGAGCATTGCGTTTTCATACTGTACAGTTTTTTTTGGGGTGTTTTGTGCTACATTTGTATATTTTTTGAATCGTCTCTAGCATTATATTTCATTTTTAACATCTATTTACATATTGGATTAATGTACTTACCAGATACTGCCTTCTGTTATCAAGTTTAGCAGTTTACGATTTATATTTTAACTTTACGAATTTTAATAGTCAATGTTTGCTGGGTATACTTGTAGCCCCGGTAATCATTGATTACTCTGTTTTAAAACCTCTCATTTTGTGAACTTATTTTAAACCTCTCATTTTGCAAACTTGCTTCTCAGGGGTTTGTAAATGTCACTGCCCCAAAACGTCTAGTGTGCGTGTGTGGCCAGTATTCAACAGTCACAACAGATGTCCTGTAACAAGATTCTCGCTAATATGAATAATTTAAAGTTTCTGAAATCATGAAAAAGTGAAACTGCAACATTTTCGCCATTGATCTAATATTTGTTATACTGTAAAGTACATTATTTTTGCTTGTAATTTATTTTCACTGGAAGAATGATTCAGTAAAAATAAAATCAAGCAAATTTACTTTTTTTTTTCTATATTTTACATTGAACTCATCAAAAATCAGTGAAAATAAACTCCATACAAAACAGCTAAAATGTTTTTTCATTGAAAATTAAATCCAGCTAAAATAAAGTATTTTACAGTATTTCTGTAATAGCATTGTGTATTAATGATAATCACATGCATTCAAAAGATTTGCACCATGCTTTGTAGAAGAATTTGTTAGCGTTTCCTCTTGGTTCGAAACTAGTAGATATTAATACATATAGCAAATTCAGTCTGCACCTCTATGGCAGGATAGCGACCAAGCAAAACGTAAACCACCAATTTTTTTTTTTTAAACTCATTTCAAATTAATCACGTCAATGTCTATATTATGTATATATTTGGTACATGGGTGGTGTGTTCTTTTTTTTCAAGTATATTGTAACTATGTTTGGTTGAAGGGTAAAAGAAATGTTATTATTACAATCTATGTATAGCTCAAATTTTAAAAAGAGAATAAATCAAATTATATTAAACCGTAGAGAAGTTGCTGAAATTGTATGTGTGAGTGCCTGAATGGTAAATGTGAATGTACTAGGTCACAATATACTCAAATCCTGATGCAGAAAGCTTAATTTTCTTGAAAGCTGCAAACACAGCTGTTCTCAATCAGTTCAGTTTCCATATTAGTAAAAGTGCTACAGACATAACATAGTACATATATCAAATGGAACGTGGTGCAACAATTATATAGTTTGAATTTATTCTCTAATGATCCAGGTTGGTATGAAAAAAAACTTCCCAAGTTGTATTTAATGGTAGACACTATTGCCCTGCCTGTCCCCGCCTCCATTCAATCAAATGCTTGCTGTATAATACTGGGAGTTGATTTGTATCCAGTCTACATGTTTACGTAGATACGGCCCAAAATCGTTTCTAAAATAAACTTAAGAGACCATTTGTTGCATTCTCTCGACAATTCTTTACTATATAGCTGAATTACCAGCAACATGGCTTTGTTAATTTCGAGATACAGTTTTTAATTACAGGAATTGCTTAAACACTTCCTCCCTTTTGAAAATTCAAAAGATTGTTCATGGCACACCTTACAAATGTTCCTGTCATATTAGGTATTAGGTAACTGAGTGAGTTTATAATCCTTTAATGCCACTGTTTTGGTCAGCATTCTGTAAATACATATTAGCCTGAATGTTTACAGACTAATACTACAATACAATCAACTTGAAAGTTTCAGTATTAAAATTGTTATCGATATTGTACAACACTGAACTAAATTAACAATGTTTAGTACATAATTTGAGATTCCTCTTTTTGCTCAGTGTGGTGTTTACAAGATTCCTCTTTTTGCTCAGTGTGGTGTTTACAAGATTCCTCTTTTTGCTCAGTGTGGTGTTTACAAGATTCCTCTTTTTGCTCAGTGTGGTGTTTACAAGATTCCTCTTTTTGCTCAGTGTGGTGTTTACAAGATTCCTCTGTGCCAAGTGTGGTGTTTACTAGAATGTATGTGCCAAGTGTGATGTTTACAAGATTCATCTGTGCAAAGTGTGGTGTTTACAAGATTCATCTGTGCAAAGTGTGATGTTTACAAGATTCATCTGTGCAAAGTGTGGTGTTTACTAGATTGTATGTGCCAAGTGTGGTGTTTACTAGATTGTATGTGCCAAGTGTGGTGTTTACAAGATTCCTCTGTGCCAAGTGTGGTGTTTACTAGAATGTATGTGCCAAGTGTGATGTTTACAAGATTCATCTGTGCAAAGTGTGGTGTTTACAAGATTCGTCTGTGCCAAGTGTGGTGTTTACTAGAATGTCTGTGCCAAGTGTGGTGTTTACAAGATTCGTCTGTACCAAGTGTGGTGTTTACAAGATTCGTCTGTACCAGGTGTGGTGTTTACTAGAATGTCTGTGCCAAGTGTGATGTTTACAAGATTCCTCTGTGCCAAGTGTGGTGTTTACTAGAATGTATGTGCCAAGTGTGATGTTTACAAGATTCATCTGTGCAAAGTGTGGTGTTTACAAGATTCGTCTGTGCCAAGTGTGGTGTTTACTAGAATATCTGTGCCAAGTGTGGTGTTTACAAGATTCGTCTGTACCAAGTGTGGTGTTTACAAGATTCGTCTGTACCAAGTGTGGTGTTTACAAGATTCGTCTGTGCCAAGTGTGGTGTTTACTAGAATGTCTGTGCCAAGTGTGATGTTTACAAGATTCCTCTGTGCCAAGTGTGGTGTTTACTAGAATGTCTGTGCCAAGTGTGGTGTTTACAAGATTCGTCTGTACCAAGTGTGGTGTTTACAAGATTCGTCTGTACCAAGTGTGGTGTTTACAAGATTCGTCTGTGCCAAGTGTGGTGTTTACTAGAATGTCTGTGCCAAGTGTGATGTTTACAAGATTCATCTGTGCAAAGTGTGGTGTTTACAAGATTCGTCTGTGCCAAGTGTGGTGTTTACTAGAATGTCTGTGCCAAGTGTGGTGTTTACAAGATTCGTCTGTACCAAGTGTGGTGTTTACAAGATTCGTCTGTACCAGGTGTGGTGTTTACAAGATTCGTCTGTGCCAAGTGTGGTGTTTACTAGAATGTCTGTGCCAAGTGTGGTGTTTACAAGATTCGTCTGTACCAAGTGTGGTGTTTACAAGATTCGTCTGTACCAAGTGTGGTGTTTACAAGATTCGTCTGTGCCAAGTGTGGTGTTTACAAGATTCCTCTGTGCCAAGTGTGGTGTTTACTAGAATGTCTGTGCCAAGTGTGTTGTTTACAAAATTCGTCTGTACCAAGTGTGGTGTTTACAAGATTCGTCTGTACCAAGTGTGGTGTTTACAAGATTCGTCTGTGCCAAGTGTGGTGTTTACTAGAATGTCTGTGCCATGTGTGATGTTTACAAGATTCCTCTGTGCCAAGTGTGGTGTTTACAAGATTCGTCTGTGCCAAGTGTGGTGTTTACTAGAATGTCTGTGCCAAGTGTGGGGTTTACAAGATTCGTTTGTGCCAAGTGTGGTGTTTACAAGATTCGTCTGTGCAAAGTGTGGTGTTTACAAGATTCCTCTGTGCTAAGTGCAGTGTTTACAAGATTTTTTGTGCCAAGTTTATAACTTTAAAGATTCCTTTGTATATTGTGAAAGTTTAAACATTTGCAAGATTCCATCATATAATAAACAATTTTGCATGATTCCTTGGTACTAAATGTAATGTTTACAAGATCTTTCAAACACACACGCACGCACACAGGCAATTTTAATTTAAAATGATTCCTATAGGCAATAAACTACCCTTGGTACAATAATGCTTTATTACTGTAATCCTGTGGTTAATGATACACCACATAAAGTTTGACTCAATGAAAAAATCATTTTCACACACAACAACCATGAAAAGGTCAATACATAATTAGTATGAATTACACTCTTGAACATTGCTTTTGCCAAGATCTCCCGATTGTTGTAACATTTTAGATTCCAATAAACTCTCAAACTAGTCTGTTGCCATTTGTGTGATTTTATTTTCACTATTTTCGCTGAAGAAATGAATCAGTGAAAATTAAATATACTTTTTTCAAAAATTAGTGAAAATAAATTCCATACAAGACGCCCAAAAAGCCTTTTCAGCGAAAATTAATTCCATGCAAAAAATAAAGTAATTTTACAGTAATATCAACCAGATCAGCAGTTGCATCTTGTATTCGCTACCACAAGCTACAGTGAACTCGCCAGAAAGCACAGAATGAGATACAACAATTTATATCAATACAATTCAGTATAAAAGTGAATGAAAATAAACGTCACCCATCGCCATTTATGGATCACTATGTTACAAGATGATACTAAAAATAGATCTGACATAATCATGACATAATAACGTGTCATGTTGCTCAGCACATGAAATATTAAATGTGCTTGATTGAAAAACGTCAATTTCACTTTAAAGTTTCTTCGCTGTAGATCCGAAACAGGCTTTTGGTTTCTAGATTTTGTTTACTCATTTGTGTGTCCAAATCAAACATTATTCACATTACACAATACTTGATGATGCCAAAATTAAATTTGTATTATTATTCTGATATCAACAACAACAAAACTATTTTTGTTTATATAACCAAGAAATAAATGACCATAATTATTGTCATTTTTAAAGAAGTCTCAATGCACATACGCTGTCATTAACAAATAATTCTGTCTTACTGCAAACTTCGGGCTACATTATCAACAGCATTAGACATTCAATGTAAAAAGCATGTGTGCTGCTTTAACTTGTATCCGGTTGAATCAATGTAAAAATACACAAGGCTGGCAGGATAACGTAACTGAACTTTACGTCACTTTAGCATCAGTATGCAGTTTTAAAAAATAACATGTGAAGTTACTTCGTTACAAATTGTAACCATAGAAATGTGCTACACTGCAACCATGCTGCTATATTGCAATCAAGCCATCTGGTGTTGCAGTCATGTGCTATGCTGTACTTGCATTCAGGAAGTGTCGTTAAATTGCCGACATGGTGTACTCGCCATAATAGTATTCTTTAGCATCGTCATCCAGTTGCCATTTCATGGCACGTAGTTCTATTGCTTGTAGTAGCGGTAATCTTGAAGACGCTGGACTGTTCCAAGCAAGATACGCATCCCGTATGTTGTCGTATAACTCATCCATAACATCTCGGTTGCACTCCTCCAACTGTTTACCAATAGACAACAGTTGCGTCACTAAGCAATCCACCTAAAACATCAAACAATCAGAGAAAGAATTAGATGCGTGCAAATATTGTAACTGTCACTTGAACGTTCACTTGATTACCACAACCACAGTCACTCAGAAAAAAATTGAAAATTGTTTTGACTGTGCGATGCCTAAGGAGATTTATTTACCTCAGAATCATTCTGCAGACATTCTGGTCCAACCAATGTGAATAAACAGTTATAAACAATATCTTGCAAATCAGAATAATTCTAGAAATGAAAAAGAAAAATAGTGTATGCTGTTAAGTCTTTCTACAACGCATTAATAGTATGATTCAATAGTATCAACACTGCACTCATTTTCAACATTTGTTGACAATCTATAAGATAACTCACCTGTAACTCAATAAACAGCTGACATACAAAGCTAACTCACCTGTAACTCAGTTAACAGCTGACATACAAAGCTAACTCACTTTTAAATCAGTAAATAGCTGACATACAAAGCTAACTCACCTGTAACTCGGTAAATAGCTGACATACAAAGCTAACTCACCTGTAACTCGGTAAATAGCTGACATACAAAGCTAACTCACCTGTAACTCAGTTAACAGCTGACATACAAAACTAACTCACCTGTAACTCAGTTAACAGCTGACATACAAAGCTAACTCACCTGTAACTCGGTAAATAGCTGACATACAAAGCTAACTCACCTGTAACTCAGTAAATAGCTGACATACAAAGCTAACTCACCTGTAACTCGGTAAATAGCTGACATACAAAGCTAACTCACCTGTAACTCGGTAAATAGCTGACATACAAAGCTAACTCACCTGTAACTCAGTTAACAGCTGACATACAAAGCTAACTCACCTGTAACTCAGTAAATAGCTGACATACAAAGCTAACTCACCTGTAACTCAGTAAATAGCTGACATACAAAGCTAACTCACTTTTAACTCAGTTAACAGCTGACATACAAAGCTAACTCACTTGTAACTCAGTTAACAGCTGACATACAAAGCTAACTCACTTGTAACTCAGTTAACAGCTGACATACAAAGCTAACTCATTTGTAACTCGGTAAACAGCTGACATACAAAGCTAACTCACTTGTAAATCAGTTAACAGCTGACATACAAAGCCAACTCACCTGTAACTCAGTAAATAGCTGACATATGTAGCTAACTCACCTGTAACTCAGTAAACAGCTGACATACAAAGCTAACTCACCTGTAACTCAGTAAATAGCTGACATACAAAGCTAACTCACCTGTAACTCAGTAAATAGCTGACATACAAAGCTAACTCACCTGTAACTCGGTAAATAGCTGACATACAAAGCTAACTCACCTGTAACTCAATAAACAGCTCACATACAAAGCTAACTCACCTGTAACTCAGTAAATAGCTGACATACAAAGCTAACTCACCTGTAACTCAGTAAATAGCTGACATACAAAGCTCACAAATGATATCCACTTGGATAAAGACTCCAATCTCATTGCACATTTATCTCTGTAATAATTCCGACATAACGTCACAAGACATCGATAAGCAGAATTGGATGATGTCACCTCTAACTCTTTCTGTAAAACAACAATTCATCTTTATATTATGTTACCGAAATATACGAGGGTAGTCTATAAATAAACCTTTTCATCTCACAAGTTATAATTCCACCCATAAGCCCTATAGTAGCAGTGTTCTCCCCAGGCTCAGAGGCAAGCATGGCGGTCTAATTTGCATGCTAATTTGCATACTAATTTGCATATTTTTCAGGATTCACTCTCACAAAAACAAACATACAAGACAGTATTAAAATGTATAAGAGACTTTATTTAAATTACATAATACTTTACATAATATACCATAATTTGACAAGATCGTCATTTAATGTGAACTGTTCCATAAAACTTAGTCTAAACTATTCCTTCTGACTTTGTTGTGCTCCAAACATTGGCTGCCTTACTGTAGTTAAACTCGTCATAGACGTGCACGGGACTTTGTTCCATAAAGAAGATCCACTCTTTGCAATCATGTTGTGCTTTGAGCATTAACTGCACAACATTCCTTGTGGGAAAAAATGAAAAATAATAAAAAAAAAACAATGAGGATTGAGGTTCAAATAAATGTAAACATAACGATTGAATTGTGCCACGATCGGGAACCCAGTGCCGTAATGGATAGCATTTCGTCTGCAAAACATGTTGTTTACATGTTGGTTTTGTCAGGTCAACGACAAGGAGACTCGGGAATTTCGAGGAAAAAAAACATGAGGTCACTATTCAATTAAAACGTAACGATAGAATTATGTATACAAATTGGGATTCCATCGATCATAACGCGTGATGATAGCAGCTGTCGTTCGCAAGACGTTGACAGGCCGCCATCTTGGAAATACCTACACAGGTCAACATGTGAACAGAAGATTACAAAATTCGATTTTTTTTTTGCTTGGACAAATTATAACATACGCGTACCCATTAATCTATGAAGATATTCATAAAATAATCTAAAAAAGTTGACAGTAACGAGTGATGTTTTTTTTTTCATGTCGTGTCTATACCAGCCTCGTGTCTAAGATGTTGATTGAAATCGGTGTAGGCCTACCATGTTCGGTGTTCTTACGATCGGCAAACATACACACACTGGCATTTTATTTCTAAAATTACGAAATCTTACCTGAACAATTGACCTTAACCAGGGAAATGTCTTTTTCCACGACTCATCAAAACCAGCCTCACGCCGTTTCCGTGTTTCTACACGCTTCCGTTTCTGTGCTGTGCTAGCAGTGATTGTACGTTTTAGCCGGGCGGCATCACCTTTTTTCCTTTACATGTTTTGTCATATAGCATCTCGGTGTTTGCAACTTGAGTGACAATTTGTTCCCCATTGATAGCGTCTGTACTTCACACGTGTTTAACAATGGGGACTGTTTAATGAGGGGGGGCAAGGGTTATTTTCATTCAACATAATTGCAATATTTTTTTGTTCGTACAACGTAAATAGAAAAAATAAATTCCGTAATTCTGTAATCACAGGCTAGACGTACAACGTAATCAATCAAATATTTTTTTCGTACACTGTAAAAATGTGTCATTTTTCTCGGTACGTACAAGAATTTACATCCAAATAAAAAAATCGTAAAAAAAAATCTAGGGAAATTAAATTTCAGAAACTGTAAAACGACTAGATGACACAATTCACTACAAAATTCAATGTCCAAGACGTAAAAGGCCCTCTAACCGAATGAAGAGCATTACGAGGGTAATATGCGCATGCGTCTCTACACACGGCGCAGTAATGGCGGAGCATTTGAGTCGGAGAGCTCTTTGGACCATTCAATGTTCCATTTTTTAACATTGTAAACTGTAAAAACGTTTTTTTTTCCCTTGTAAATTGTAAAAAGCCCTTTTTATTTCACGTAAAACCGTACCAGCTACCCCCCTTGCCTCCCCTCTTTAATTTGTCCTGGCAAGTTCAAACCGCTGTGGCGTAGACGGTGATAATTTATGCAGTGCTACGTGTGTTACGTGTGAGCGGGTCAAATGGATGTAAACAATGCATCCTATTAGCATGGCGGTGAAGTTGTAAGCATGGCGGTCCGAGCCCAAGCGTGGCGGCCGGGTCGCCAAGCATGGCGGTGCCGCCATGCTTTGTTCTATGTGGGGAGAACACTGAGTAGGTTGACATTTATTTTGATCACAGTTGGCTGGTGTACAATAAATTGTGTACACTGTATCTACTAAATTGGGGTGGCCATCTTTTTTTATGTTTTGGGAGAATTCAAGATGGCTGCACCATATAGTAAATATTGGTAAATTACATAAAGTTCCATTTTATTTTGACTGATTTTGATGATTTCATGGACTTATGCCGTAATCTGTCTAATTTTACAAGCAGAACATTAAGGAGCAATGAACAAACACAACTTGTATTAAAGTTACAATGCAGTTACAAATGCCATCAAATAATTATGAAATTATGAAATAACATAGTACAGGAAATAACTGTAAAGTGCTTTAATTTCAGGAGACAAATTTTCATTTGTGAAAGAGTAGAATTTTGTAGCAGTACAAATTTTTCTTGGTTTGTACCAATAGACTGTCAGTAACACTTGCAAAATTTCATCTTCACAAATTCTATCGAGTCCCGAAAATTAAGCAATTTACAGTACCTTTGCTCAACGATTGCAATTAATGTGAAATTTATGTGAGAGTGACAAACAAGGTAGTCAGCATACCTGTATAATAGCCGCACATAGCTTAGATCCTGTCAGTGTGTAATGGCATTCATCAATGGAATATTTACATACATATCCCATAATTGGTAACATGTCATTTGCACCTAATTTTGCTGGATCTAAAAATATAGCAAACACAGATAACTGTCAGCAAAATTCATTCCAGCTAAAAGTATTTCCCAGCACGTATCGATCCTCTGAGTGCTTGTAAACTTGAACAAAAACCAAAAATCTAGCCTTATTTACAATGTTCGATCAAATCTTACCGTGAAACAGCATTGAAAAGGCAAACAGATGACCTCATTTAGAGGTCGGTGGCCACCCACTGATGTAACGATTTAACATTCAAATTGCATGGGGGAACAGTGCATTCTGGGTGTTTATGTTCTGAATTCGAAAAGTGACAAAAAATATGGTTGCTGGATGAGTTTACCGCAAGTGTTTGTAATTGAATACATATTTTAGTTTTCTTTTCCATATACTTTCACTTTATTTTTTGAGAACATAGCATATTCTTGTACTTTGCTAAACAGTTATAAATCATCAACTTTGAACTGAGCATTGCATAAAATATCAATACTGATTGCCATGACTGCAAATTATAATATCATTATTATATATTTTTGCAAATATAAATACTTGAATAATGTATGCAAATTAGGTCACTCGTCACCTACTGTAAAATACTTTATTTTAGCTGGAATTAATTTTCGCTGAAAACATTTTTTGGGTGTTTTGTATGGAATTCATTTTCAGTGATTTCTGACTAGTTGAATGTAAAATATAAGAAATAATGTATATTCGCCGGATTTTATTTTCACTGAATCATTCCTTTAGCGAAAATAGCTAAAAATTAATTCCAAGTGAAATAAAGTATTTTACAGTATTTTAGATTGTGGAGAACACTGGTCTGCATGATAATATTTGGTTCAAATATTAGTAGTGATACAAAGTATATAATGAATTGTAGAAATCCATGGTAACTAGATTGTTCCATATTTTCAACAAAAATTAAATACTTACTTATCAATGCTTGAATAATATACGGTTGTAAATAGGCGGGAAACTTCTCAATTTTGAACTTGTCGAGGAGAGGGTTCGTCATGACGACATGACTAGGATATGACGAACTCTGTTCAACTTCAGTCTTGTGGGGTTGTGCCGTGGCTTCTGATTTCCTGGCTGGTATAAAAACACAAAGACAAGATATGAAAAGACTGAATAAAAATGGCCGCTGATTTTATATGTCTACATCACGAACATCTACGAGCAGGGGTCAAAATGTTAGAGAGACATTAATTGGAGGTTAACGAACGATAAAGTCTGTACAGCGTTATGAAGTGAAACAAATACGAGTAGTACTGTAAACTAAAAGGCGGTTGTCACACGCACGTTCGATATGACTGATAGTTCCATAGCAACATATACAACAAGCGTAAAATACATCTTTTACATTGTTTTCCAAATGCTTCCAAATTACCCAGCATGCATAGGGTTGTTGGAGCAATGAACAATGATGAAATAAATGATAAGTATAAAATATTGTACAACTTTTTCAACCCTGTACGACAGTAAACACTCAGTGCCCTAAAATTCATTTTTATGTCAAGGTCATGTTTGTATTTAGAGGTTAATTATTAGTATATGTACATGTAACATTAAAAACACAAAAAATTTGATGCTCAGAACTTTCCATTTAAATTTTTTTTTTAAAACCAGGGTTTCGCAAATGTGAATCACAGATGATTCCAAGCCTACCATCTTATCTCTAATTGTTTACTGGCTATTTCATTGAATTAATGCTTGAACATAAATTAATGTGCAATTAGTAATATATAATTATTGGTATAATAGTCTGTTAATTATGAATTAATTAAAAACTATTGGTGTTATTACAATCAACATATAGCTCGTTTCACATATGGTTAGAATCTACAAACTTATAGTGAAATTGTTAGTCTAAAACATCAAACAGAAATACCTTCATCTTGTTGTGCAAATATTGCAATTTGGGTTTTAAGGCGACTGCACTTCAAGCAGTAAGAATATTATCGGGAAACGTACGGTTAGCACCGTACTTATTCAGTATATAAGTACGGGTATATTTACTAAACAAGATGCCATTGCTAAACTACCTGCCGGGGGAACATAGAAGTTCATGGTGGGTTTGGTAGATCTACATCTTGGAGACATGCGCACTGTAACATTTTTAGTGGTCTGATTATCTTGAAGATTTCGGTGCTGACGTCTTCTAATCTGTTCTACGAATCCATGGCCCATGTCTAAACCAGGACTCTCCCAATTTGGCCGATCCATTTTATTGATCTCTATAATTTAGATAGAATGTGATACATTTTATTGTGTAATAGTACGTTCATAGGATTTTGGGTGGGGAGAAGAATCTAGAGTTTTCTTGAATGGTATTTGCATTATGGGAGTTAGTTGCATGAAAAAATCAAAATCTGCAACACCAGCATTGAGTGTGTGGTAGATCTTAGCACCAATACAGCCGTAATTCAACTCAGCATTGGCCATAATTGGTGTCTGAAGACATGGCATATGCCGAAATCACGCCCTCTGTGGTGAGTTTAAGAGAAACCGGTGTAGTTTGATGCAAGCACAGCTGATTCTTCAAGCAAAAACTATGGTCTGGTATAAAAGTAAGTTCACGTCTCAGTATCTTGAAAGAGGATGTCAATCTATACTGATTAGATAATTCACCACAGAACAAGAAACACTTTTGTCATGAAAAAATTTGAACAGTACATAGACCATGAGTTGATTCATAAAATTTACCTCATGAATGATGATTACTTATAATAAATACCATAACAGTATACCATCAGATATATACACAGAACTTTCATTTTGTTTACCAATAGGTCAACTACAAAAAAATGTGGATGTGATTTCGGCACAAGTGTGTTCTGATGAACGCAAAAACATGAAAGAATAACATTTGTCAGGTGTTGATGCTACTCCGCGTTTACTCCCCTAGGACATTATGGAGTGGGGATCCCAAAAACAAAACCCAATTAGCAAAACAATGAAGTTATTAATTTGTTGGACTCATTGTGTATTTAAAAAAAATTTAAATTTCCACCTGATTAATTCACATGGAGCTCAGACTCGATCTGAGAGTTCTACCCACCAGTAACATGACACTTCAGTATTTTTTTTTTTTAAAACCCCACACACACATTGCAATATGCAGTTATTTATTGTTACTATGACTTTTCGTGTTGTGCAATAAAATGTGTCTTATCACCTTTGGTTTATGGATAATACTAGCTCAGTATGTGACGCTACTGAGATCAACAGACTCTGATGAACTAGGTGATATGGTCATATCATTCACTGATACCATTGACACAATAAACCCATTTTCTTGAATCGAACTAGCCAGTTGAAAATCAGTTGAAAATGGTCCAATAGAAACCTCTCATTTCAGTTTGAATTTATAAATATTCATAAAAATGAAGGGAATGCGTTTGTTGTCGATAGTAAATCCATCCCGCTGACCACTATCTACGACATGACTCAACACAACTGTCACAATAGGGAAAATCAGAAATGACGAAGCATTTAGAAAGCCAATTAAGGCCATCGCTTCACATCGCATACGCGTTGTACCATAGAGAGGCGTGTGTGTCAGGCTTCACATAAGTAGTAAAACTAGTATTGTTTCACTGATTTGAAAACCCAGAGTATATGACCAAAATTATTAAAAAGTTTAAAATAAAAACTTTTCATCATATTTTTGAGATAGGGATAATATGTGAATCTGGATCATCAAAAATAAGACCATGTAACCACGAGTGAGGCTAAATCTTCTGACAATTAGCGTTAACTGTACATTTGTGTAGGTCAAAGCCCGCCTTGTTTGTATTGTCACTATACAACAAAACACCAGAAAACACGTCAGATATGTAAAATTATGCATTCACAACACAACATAACATAACATATAAACTACCTTTGTCGGGATCTGCTGATCACTCGATACACAAGTCGATGAACAGATGGCGGTATCAAAATATAAGCTCTTGTCGGTCCAGTCAACCTTCAATGATGACGAGTCCACAAGTTACAGTTTCTTGCACCGGATTTCGCCACCTGTTTTCTTGTAATATGCAAAATAGAGGAAGGCAAAGACAGCCAATAGCACTAATATGATAAAAGGAGCACCTTGCCACAGATGATGTAAATGGTAATGAATCGGCATGGTTATATCGTTGCAGCTGTTCACTTTCCACTTTCTTTGAACGCGCAGTCGACAGACAGTGCGTCGATCGGGTCTGCCAGTTACAAACGCAAAGATATCTACAGTTGCGTCGTTTGCACGAATACACAGACTGATGTTCCTAGTATTGGAGCCACAACATGTGAATTCAGATACTACATGTACTACCAGTGTACTGTACAAAATAAAACGTATTATTAGAATGCAACCAACCAACCTGTAAAAGGTCAATGATGTTCAATGCTCTCGTGTCCTGAAAGTGGTACATAAACGTCATGCCAAAAAGCGCCATCACCGATAGAAGCTGGAAACCTACAAAAATGGACCGAAGAGGGAGTAGTTCAGACTGAAAGAATGAAATGTAAAACTCTCAGCCCGCACTCGTTGTTGATAGGTGAAGTCGTACTATCGACATAAACTAACCTATTCATGACATGTTTTACAACTATTTATAAATTTCAATGGCAGTTTAATCCATCCAGCCATGGAGCTAAAAAAAAAAAGATTTTTTTTAGCTCCATGATCCAGCCAATCAACGAGCGTAGTGAGTAATGACGTCATTTTGATGTTATTTCATAGACCAATCTAATTACTGTTATTCCAATAATGAATGAAACACCAACTCAGCAATATTGCCAGCTAATTTGCGAACCATACGGCTGAGCATTTGAACGCACGAATCGAGTTGGCGTCACGGCATTATCAAGATATTTATAATAACTCTGAGGGAAACACTTGTATTTCTTTAATTTCATATTGAATTTCATATTTGTTTTTATTATATTTTTTGTTTCATTTTAAAATGAAGTTTGTGTAATTGATCACATCAGTAAAATAGGATAGTTTATTGTCGCAAATGATATTTCAAGTGACATCTGGTGATCCATTTCATCTGTCTCACCGTCACTCACACTGGAATATCCCATTTACCAGTGGGGTGAGAGATACTATTGTAATAATGGACCAGAGCATCATGACCACTATATGTGTACGAAATTATAATATTTTTGTTTTGTTTAACAATTATTCTCGGGTTTTGTGGAGGTGTATCCGGTTAAAAAACAGAAGACGTGTTCAACAACACTTCATGAATATATGCATGATATGCAAATATGAAGCCGAATTCCAACTTCTGGGAAAATTCACTCACTCCATGTAACAATACGCAAAATCCTTTTTTTTCACAATCCATAGTGGTCATTTCCCCAGTACAAATCATAAAAAAAAAGTTAATCGGCTATATATATATATTTATATATATACACGTATATATAATGGAGCCTATATCTACCGTTTGTGTTTCGACTTTCTGGGATGATTACGCATATCCCATACCGTTTTGGCTTACTATTTTTGTATTCATTCTAATTTTACAACTTAAAATAAATATTATATATTAGATTAATCTACATGTTACATGAAAAATGACAGGACTTTCAAAATTAAGTTATGTATGTTTATACTAGTCTATTATTACTGTCTATTATTATTATTAAAATACATTTCAATATGATAAGTAAATATAAAAAGATTGTAAATTTTATAGTTTCATAAATGATGTCGTTTGTATGTAACTTCAATAGAGATTATATTAGAGATAACGCTCTGGCAATGGGTCACTCGTATAATATAATATATTATTTTACCATCGATGCCTATATGCATCCTAATCACATCGGCAACATTAAAATTGAGCTTTGCATGTTAAATATGGCCCAACTTTGTCTCGTATATTTTTTCTAAAACATCCTTATTCGAAACGTCCGTCCACCGATGAGAATTGACATCGATCACATTACAAATATTCTCTACCAAGAGCTTGGCATTTACTTTTTCTATAACTAATATCTGCTTTGCAGAACTTACTGCTTTACATCAAACCTATTGAAAGAAAAACCTACAATTCTTTGATAGTTAGCTTTAACAATTTTACCACGTGTTTCCAAATTAACGTGGCTGGGCATACGTCAATCTGATTTAACAATCTGGTGCATTGTACTGTGTGTACTATTTTTTTTTTTTTTTTTTATGCGACGACAGAATAAATTACACATGTTAAATATTTTTTTATTTTTCCCGTAAAAACATGTGTGCTTTCTGGATTTTTTTATTGTAATACAGTTGTAACAGTGACATGCACACCATAATATAATTTTGATTTTTTTTGTAAATTTTGATGCCTTGATGATATTCACTGTAATGAGTTTGGTAGATTATAGGCCAATCACAGATTCCAAATCCAAATAAACTGATCAGCACTAATGAAAACTGTGATCATAAAGAAACTTAACGATATACATCAATTGGAACTGACACTGATGATTATCAGAAGTTTAAAAAATAATGTTTTTTCCTTTTACAGGAAAAAAATAATTATTAAAATAATTATTAAAATATTTTGTTTTCGTTTTTACCTTTTTATTTGGAAGTCACGTTAAAAACAAACTATCACTTTTGCTCAGCCTGTGTGTAAGAGAAGCTTAAAATAAAATTGAGAAAAAGTAAACACAGAAGAGCGCCATCAACGAGCAGGCTGTGATGATAATTTTAAAATGGCGGCCCCCATGAAATAATGTCTTTGAAAAATACTCCCTCTCTTAAAAACAATATTCTGTTATTTTTTGACGCCAGTTTCCACCCGTGATAGCTATATTTTCCATGGCAACGAGAAGCTGTATCACGCTGTACAATTTTTTTATTTACAATTCGAATTTTGGGCCCAGGGAAGGCGAGGTAAGTGTGAGATTAATTTTAATGTTTTAATATTTTCGTAAATTATTGTTATGATCTTGATCGGTGCTTAAAAACGTTGATCTCCTAATTTTCCATATGCAAGTAATCTATGTGGAAGCTTACACCATAGAACTAATCTTATTTCAGCTCCATGGCTGTATGCAAAGGGTTACCCATTTGAAATCGGGTTGTTGTAGCAAGGATTCATTCAAGTACTAATAGCTGCTACGCACGTAGTCAGTCGGCGTAACAAGTTAGCTCTGAGTACAGTCCTGTAGATTGGCCTCCTTCCCCTGATCATTCGACCCTGGTGCCCCACAGTCCCGAGAAGTTGTATAGACCGGAGATTCAACACTGTATCGGGCGATTTACAGCCGTTCTGAGAATTATTCGGACAGTCAGTTAGCAAAATGACTTGCAACTTTGCAAAACACTTTGGTCTTTGCCCAATCTGGACTTGTCGGCGCCACTTGAGTGACGGGCGTGTCGTTTGGGATTACTATTTCATAGGGGTTGTCGGCTTGGTGAATTGTAAGTATTATCTAGCGTGCGTTTACAGCAACCATTCTTTATTTTTTATAATTATATTGTAATTATTTTCAGTAATTTTGAACATCAGAAGTTGGGTGTTGCTTAAATCTGTCGAAAAATGTCAACCCCTCGCTCAATTTAGTCAGTTTTACCTGTTACCTAAATGGACTAAATATAATAACGGTCGTTATACCCCGTCATTTTCAAATTGCAGTTGAAAAAGTGATTTGATCAAGGAAGGCACTTTTGATTTGA